GACAGCCTGTGCAAGGCCCTCAGTCAAGCAAAAGACTCCTGGCCTCAGCACTGCATCAAAACTTGCCTCCAGTGGCTTAGGCCTGCTTCCATCCATCCACCCTTGTACCTCCTCAGGAACGGGGAGTTCTTGTCTGCAGAGGATAGTCATGAGGCCTGGAAGCAACAGCTCTTTGAGCAAGGGGCCTGGCCTGCGCACTTTGATCGGGTCTTCCATGCCGAGCTTGAGCAACGCGTCAAGCAATTACTCGGGCATGCGAGAGCCCATAGAGGCAGCGGCGAATTTGACGCTGCCTTCTTGCAGTCTGAGTGGTTTAGGGCGGCGGAGGACATCTCTTCTTCCAGGGCCCCTTCACCATTCCTTCTGCCTAGGCTTCTTTTGTCCCTAAGAGCGAACGCATGGCATGATGCAGCCTCCAAACTGCAGGAGCTCTGCGGGCCTAATCTCCTTGCTGTGCGGCCATGCCTCTGGAGATTTCGAAGCCTCACTGTAAAACACAAGAAGGGACCCTGCAGCTCTCCTGCTTCATACAGGTTCCTCGCGGTTGCCGATTTGCATGGTTTGCTTCAAGAACAATTGTTGATGAACAGAGTGACGCCTTCTCTCCAACGATCCTTGGAGTGGTACCAAACAGGATATAGGCACGATGTCCGTAATCATCATTTCACATTAGCATGCTTGCAAGAGGAGTACAAGCACTGGCGCAGATGTTTTATCGCGATATTTGCTGATTTTGTGCATGCTTTTCCGCGTTGTTGGAGAGCGGGGCTCATTTCTGAGACCCATATCTCCGCGGGTCTGCGTGATGGGGCTCTCTCTCTCTTGGGCTCCATCATGGAAAAAGATCGTTGGAGGATCACATTCAGTGGAGATTCTCTGGTCTCCACTTCAGAGGGGATCCCAGAGGGGAGCAAATACGGCCCTGCGTGCTTCAATTTGCTGCCCAACATTCTTGTCAAAGAGTTGCTCGGAGCAAGGTGTGGCATCTCATTCAGCGCCAAGGTGCCCCATGCCTGGGCTGACCATGTCTGGACAGGGCGCGGATTTCCGGAGTCGTCAACAGTTCAGGACATTCTGTGCCGTCTGCAGCATGACAAGTCCCTCCCCGGCATAGAACTCATGAGAAAGGACTGCAACCTTGAGGCTTCCTGCGCAAGAGCCCTAGATCTGCATGCAGGCCTGCGCGTCCCGGTACTGTTTCACGCAGATGATCCTGTGTTTTTGGCCTCAAGTCGGGGAGAGGCAAATCGTGTCTTGGCCCTTGTTAGTTCGTGGGCTCGGCGTTTCAAGGTTACCCTGCACCTTTCTGACAAGAAGACCGTTGCCTTGACGCTCCCTTTCTCCTCTGCGTCCAGTGCTCTGCACAGTTCGCCTCTGCGCTACGACTCATCCGGACAGGGGCTGCCCTCGCCGATCTCATGGGCAAGCTCTCAGAAATGGCTCGGGCTCCTCTGGAACGATGTTGGCGATTTCGGCCCTCATGCTAGGAAGTGTTGCGGCTCCTGCCACAGCTCAGTACAAGCCCTGTGCAGCCTGGTCTCGGGCCGTCGCATTCCTCTTGTCATGGCTTGTTTGATTTTCGATCTGAAAATTGAGCCTGCCCTCAAGTTTGGCCGCTGGCTCTGGGGAGTTCATGAGGACTCCCTGGCAGTCCTCACTGAGTCATACAACTCCTGGGCACGGATGCTCCTAGGTTCTAGCAGGTGGCGCTCGGCAGAGGTGTGTCGAGGTGAACTTGGCTGGGAGTTCTGCGCCCCTGCCAGGGTCGCCCTGGAAGTTGCAGCCGTGCGGCACGCTCTGTGGCTACAGAATGGTGAGTCCCTGGCGGGCCTTTGCTTCGCCCAGGCACACCTCCTGCAGTCTAACAATTGGGCAAAAGCCTCGCTGCAGCTTCTGGAAAAATGGTCTGTCTTAGACTGGCCTGTTTGGGCATCCTGCCGCCGTGCACATCCCACCTATCAGCTGTATGTGCGCGAAACGGTGCAGTACTCTTCCACCCTGGCTTGGAAGGCAGCTGTTGCAAAGCATACTTTGCCTTTGTGCTACCTGGCCCTTTGTGATGCCCCTTCTTCGCAGTTACGCGCTGCCTTCAAACTGAACGTGGCGTGGGCGAGCCTCCTCGGGCACAGAGACCTCTTGCTGCTGCGCTGCGGGTTCATTCGTCTAGGGCACATCGATCATCGGCCATCCAGGGCTGCCATCTTGCGGTGTATTTTCTGTGACAGGCGTTATTCGAGCATCCACTCGCACGTTGTCTGCCGGTGCAGTCACTTTGAAACATGCAGGCGCCCCTGCATGCCATGCGACAGCTTGAGCATACTCAATGTACAGCCGGGAGCTCCGCTATTTGAGCAAGTCGTTGTGCTTGCCAGCTGTATCTGCTCCGAAGCTCGCCAATTTTGGCGCCTTCACGGCTACGGCTCAGAGTCGTAGGCTCGTTGGGCAAAGCGCATGTGCTCACTGAATAGGCAGGGTTCTCGGTGGCATGTCTGCGCTGCTGCGGCAGTGGCTGATGGCTTTTCCGAGGGCTGGGGCATCTGCCGGGATGATCAGTGACCACATGGATGAGTTGTAGGGTGAGCATCTGTCCTGCCCTGGACTGACACGCATGTGTCTACCTACCAACCAACCAACCAACCAGAACCTACTTTTTGTAGGTTGCCTAGGAATACTTTTGGGGTGAAGAAGAAAAAAATTTAGCAACCTACAAAAGAAGTAGGCCTCGGCGCCTTCAGGCAAACCCAAAACCAGTGTAAGCCCTAAGCAACCACAACCTTCACATCGCCGGAACCCTAAACCATAAACCCTAAACCCTAAACCCTAAACCCTGCCTCCCTCGGCAGCGTGATCCGTGTTGCGCCGGACTGGAGCTTGGCCTCCTTCACGAAGCTTCCCTGGCTCCGGGCTCGGACGCCCCTCAATACGGGGTTCAGGAGCTTGGGGCCTCAGGGCTTGCCCTAAACCCTAAACCCTAAACCCTAAACCCTAAACCCTAAAACCCTAAAACCCTAAAACCGTAAACCCCTAAACCCCTAAACCCCTAAACCCCTAAACCCCTAAACCCCTAAACCCCAAACCGCAGCTCCTCAAGCCTCAGTGGGTTTGAGAAAGGTATTCCAAAGCCTCCTGAGTTCGGGGCTGAATGACCCTGGGCCTGGAATCGGTTTACCTCTACACTTTCCGATCGACTTGGGTGGAGTTTAGGGTTTAGGGTTTAGGGTTTAGGGTTTATGGTTTAGGGTTTAGGGTTCAGGGTTTAGGGTTACTTGAAGGCTCGTGGGTAGTTATAAGTACGGTGACAAGTAGGGCCACGTATACTATAACCTGAAGTAAGATACTTATGACCTTTAACTACCCTGGAATCTAGGAGTAACGGTCAGTTATATTTTTCCTGATAGTTTGCAGATGCAATGTTTCGTGAAGAGTTCTGAAACCGACTGTAAAGACAAAAAACGGTAGCTATAAGTAAGATCATATAAGTACCTTACTTAAGGTTGTAGTATAGGTGGCCCTACTTATCACCCTACTTCTAACTACCCATGAACCTTCAAGGATGCACCCGCGGGCTGCCAAAAACCCATACGCCCGGACCAAAAACTTGGCACGTGATTGTTGGTTTTGCCTGCGGGGCCCAAAAAAGTAAACTTTATAAGTTAGGATGTTCCCCCTTAGACCCTTAGACCCACCCCCCCCCCCCCCCCCCCCCGCCCAAAAAAAACAACTATATGAACACCCTGAAATCCCTATGGGCCCTGTGGATTTTTGGTCAAGACTTGGGATGTTTCTCCCTTATCCGAACCATGCTTGATAGGGATTATAGTAACCCCCTATGAGAATCCCTATTAAGGACTGTTGGTATAAGGGGGAAAAACCCAACCTATGAGCCGTCATAGCCTCTGATCTCTGATTGGCAGAGGAAAAAGACTCAAATGCGATTTCTGTGTCTGGACAACAATGAATCTGAATCGCAACTGACAGGCATGACGTGAACCTGAATCTCCTAAACAACTAAACTACCCTAAGACTCACAGACCCCATGAGATTGAACCTTCAAGTAACCCTAAACCCTAAACCCTAAACCCAGCTGTGGTCCTGGGCCAGGATGCTGCTTCACATTGGATTTTTGCAGCGAAAACCCAAAGGGCATTTCATGCACACCTGGTCACCATCCACCTTGACATTATAGGATCCTTGAAGGAGGGGGGGGGGGGTTACTGTAGGTACTCGCGAACCCTTAGGGAGTAGTGGGGAGTAGTGGGGAGTATTAGGTTTTACCCCCGCCTGAACCTTTCTCCCTTAAGGACCCTATACGAGATCCATCATGCCCCAAGACCTACAACCCTAAACCCTAAAGTGCGCAAAGCCAAAGCCGCCTGGCGCCCGTGCAGTCCGGCGAGAAGGTTGGTACTCCCTGTTGCTGCGGCGACGGGACGGCTTTGGAAAAACAATTACCCTGAATGCAGACAACCAAAGGTCCAAAATGCGGAAAACCGCAACAATCCCTGAACCACTCTGGGTTGCTTCTGAGGGGACAGGGCTTGTGGCTGTTGAGGTTTATAAGATCTGCTTAACCCTTAACCCTAAACCCTAAACAAACCCTAAACCCTTATCTTTTAGGGGTTCTTTAGGGTTCGGTATGCACACATTTGGGCCAAGTGAGGCTTGGGTCTCTCAGGCTGGCTTCCTTGGTTTAGGGTTTAGGGTTTAGGGTTTAGGGTTCTACGGTGAAACCTGCCAAGTGGGGAGTCCGTGAAGAACAAACCTGGCACGTGCCCATATGCATCTTTGTCGGAAGTTTGAGGCTCTTCGGGGGGGGGCGGGGGGTGGGTGGGGTTTGGGGTTTAGGGTTCAGGGTTCAGGGTTCAGGGTTCCGGGTTTAGGGTTTAGGGTTTGGGGGGGGGGGGGGGGGGGGGGGGAGTTCGGGGGCCGGTCGGTCAACAGCTCTCTCTCAAACTTTGAGTTTCGAGCCTGACTCACACCTTGTTGGGGCCGGGCAAAGCTCACTTTTGCTGTGACAGAAGGTGACGACCTTGGTCAACTAAAGGGGTGACGACCTTGGTCAACTAAAGGCACATTAAACTACAGAAACATTGAAGGCTCATATAGGCGTATTGAAGTTCTGCTGATGGCCTGGGAAGTAGAGCTGGGCGGTCGGCCTCTTGATGTTGGTGATGTCCTCTCAGCAGGAGAGTTCAGTATCAAGCCTTAAACAGGTTTAGGGGTTAGGGTTTGAGGGCTTGGGGTTAAGGCTGATACGAAGTAGAAGCTACTTGAAGCAACAAAGTTCGGGCCGTTTTGTTGCCTTCGATCGTTAGGGTTTAGGGTTTAGGATTTCGGGTTCAGGTTCCTAAACTCAGATGCCCGGACCTCTGCATCCTAGCATTAGACTTCCATTCGCCTTTTGATGCTGGGAATGTATGTTCACCCGCAAAACAAGCCCTTAAGCCGAATTGCATTCAAGATGGGGTTCTCTCAAGAGCCCCCGGCGCGCCTTCAAACCAAGCATTTTGCATAGCCAGGAGCACTTGTGCGACTTGAAGAACATCGACATGCCTCCAAGGGGGCAACCCGGTGGGCCTTGTGGAGGTTTGATGAGGGCTCTGGAGAATCATGGCTCCGAGGTGAGAAGCGGACTTCAGATTTCAAACCCCTTCAATGCAAAGCCATGGCTTTGCTCTACCTGCAAGGAGGGGCCCCCATGACTATACTAACTATAGCTAAGGGACTTGTAACCGCCTTGTCGGGTCAAGCAGCCAAGCTGTGCAAACCCTACGCAGGCCACTGCAATGGACTGCTTTCACCCCGATGCTCCTCTCCCAACAATAGTCCTAGTGGCTCCTTAAGATACCTCTGAACCCAAAACCCTAAAACGTAACCTCTAAACCCTAACCCTAAACCCTTGACCCTAAACCCCTTGTGCAGCGAACCTCGTATGCCAGCAGCTCGGTCACAGGTACACTGAGAGGCAAGCCCTAAACCCTAAACCCTAAACCCCTTTGTTTCCCTTGGCTGTCGAACCGGCAGTCCCCAGTGGCCTTTGAGGCCAAGATCTCCGCGACCGAACTGGTACGAAACGCCATCCGTCAAGACCTGCTCAGCGTTATATACCCAAAGGCTCCAATGTAGTTCCTTTTTGGGTTAGTTATGGGGGATTCTAGTATACTACCCCAAAAAGGTACTACATAGGAGCCTTTGGGTACTTGGTAGCCCAGTAACCATCTTACAATAAGGGTATCCTTTTTTGGCTGGTTACATTATAAAGGAACCCAGAACCATCAAAAGGGTAAAGGGTACCACTGGGCTGCCAAGCAAACATACATACATACATCCATTTGATTCTGAAAAATGCCACACTATATCTATATACATATACATACATATTGCAGTATGCACAATTTCATACTGGTTAATGATCTTAGTACCTGACATTGCAAGTATAAAAAAACATACAAATGAATATTATATATAGAGAGAGAGAGTGAGTGTGTGTGTGTGTGTGCGTGCGTGCGTGCGTGCGTGTGTGAGCTGCAAGCTGTCCTCGACCATGATACCAGTGAGCCCTGTGTGGTTCCTTAACAAATACATCACTTTTCCCACTCCTGACGCAAGCCCTATCTCCACCTTTATACTCTACACTATGAGGACTTAATTTAACAAGAACTCAGAGTAACAAGCTGTTCTTGCCGCCCGTGAGCGGACTCGCATCAACCTTTAAGGAAAAGGCGTTATGGCTTTAATGCTTTGCCTTAAAAAGCCAGTTTCCCAAATCAATACCACCCCCCCCCCCCCATCTAGGGAGCTGTAGCCTACAAGTACAGTATGATCCCGTACCCATCGATGTAAGGTGGGTTTGGGGATTACCTTTATTCAGAAGCCAAGACGATTGCCAAAACCAACGCTTTTGTAGGTTACCGCAATAACCTCAACAACAGATAGGTTTTGCTACTATTTGCTTACGAAACATCAAAAAACAAAACAAAAACAATCCCTATATTACCCTTATAAGGAAGAATATGTTGATTTGCTTGGGGGTTCTTAAGCAATTGGTAGGTTTTGGTTTCTTGAGGAAGGGTTTTGCGTCCCAATGGTTCGGCCTGCGGGTCGCTCAGCACCCAGGAGCGGTTCTCATCTTCTCTGTTTGGAGCCTTCCTGTCAGCCGCTTGCACAGCTTTTTTTGTGTGCCATGCATGGGGCGTGTGGAGGAGGGTAAACTAGGTTGGTCCTAAACACCTCTTAAAGCAAATTTAAGGAAAGAAGTGTTTGTGTCATGGGGAGGAAGCGTTGGGCATTGTATTGCAATCTAAAATACTTCAGGGCGGGGCATTAACAAGCCGTGTCCTATGATGGTACAATGTTACCCTTTTTTGCAACAGGCCTCGTGATGCAGCAGCCCGGTAACAGCAAACCACTCACAATAGCGCGAGTAGTGATGCCGCAATTACCCTAAACCCTAAACCCTTTTGAACCCAGACTCAGAGCACCAGAAACCCGAAGCACTAAACCCCAATCGAAGGGAGGGTGTGGTTCCGCGTCACTCGGAGCTGTGAACACCCTATCTTTCCGGAATGGATGCTGAAATGCCCGGGATTTCCATCACAGGACGGGATTTTCAAAGTAGAGGGTGTCTTTGGGTTGTATATATAAATATAACATATATGTATATATATATGTATATATATTTATATTTATATTTATTTATTTATATTTGTCTCTTTTTTGGGAGGGGGGGGGGGAGGGCCCTCTTTTGGGAGATGCCCCTATCTTTGATAAAGACCTCGTTTTGTCGAGCCAGCGCACCATCCTTCTGCTACTGGGCTCAAGTCTAGCCAGATGTTCACCCCCACCATTACACCCGAGACCCTAAAAGCCCTAAGCCCTAAGCCCTAAACCCTAAACCCTAACCCCTATACCCTAAGCAGGCTCTTCTCCACATCGAAGCCGCAACCCGAAACCCCAAGCTCTCTGAAATGGGGTTGAAGGGCTTAGGTTGGGATGTTCGCCCTTATACTAACAGTCCTTAACATGCATTCTAGGATAATTCCTACTCAGGACTGCTAGGGTTTAGGGTTTAGGGTTTAGGGTTTTAGGGTTTAGGGTTTAGGGTTTAGGGTTTAGGGTTTAGGGTTTAGGGTTTAGGGCATCCCCACGACTTCAGGCTCATGGGTGGGGGGGGGGGGGGCCTCCCTTTGCGCCCATCGTCCCGGTGGCCACTGCAGACTCCCTGGATGTCGGCGACCAAGAGTGCTCCTTACTAGGGTTTAGAGTTTAGGGTTTAGGGTTTAGGGTTTAGGGTCTAGGAGGCTCCCGGGATGCGCGTTCAAGGGCTTCTTATGCGGTTTTTTCCCCATCCGCCGCGTTAGGGCTTTAGGGTTTCGAGGCTTAGGAGCTTAGGGCAAGCAGGGTGTCTTCCAGGACGAGCTATTCGGCCTTAAGAAACTCCGAAACCCTAAACCCTAAACCCTAAACCCCTAAACCCTAAACCCTCAAAAATGGCATTCTGGATGGATTCGAGGGTGGAAGGAGCCATCTTCTTCGGCTGCGCGGTCTTGTTCTGAGATTACGGAAGTGAAGATGGTGCTTCTTGGTTTCGGGGTGCTTTCCTGCGGCTTCGTCTGGAAGTGAAGATGGCGGGTTTAGGGTTTAGGGTTTAGGGTTTAGGGTTTAGGGTTTAGGGTTTAGGGTTTAGGGTTTGAGGCTCAGGAAGCGTCACTGCATTCGGGATCCTTCTGGAAGTGAAGGACCTCCACAAGCCCTTGAAGCAACCGCCATCTCTCAAAGACCCCTTCCCACCTCACCCCCAAGCAAGGCCCAAGATACCCTGTAGGCGTCCGGCTTACAATCCCAATGCCCCGATCCCACAAATCCTGAGCCTCAAAACTCCTAAACCCTGATCCCGTTTTTTGAATTCGCAGTGAGGCCCCTCGGCGTTTAATCCCCCAAACCCCGAAACCCTTGTCTTGAACCCTGGAACCCTGAACCCAAAAGCCTAAACCCTGAACCCAAAGTGATCTAAACCCTAAACCCTAAACCCTACCAAGAGACCGCTGCTATAGTGGAAAGTGTAGTGGGAGAAAGCAGATCCGAACACAGCGTGGCCCCCGTACCTGGCACTTGGAGACTCGATGAGGGTTTGGGGTTTAGAGGGTTTAAGGTTTCGGTTTAGGTTGTACCTTAAGGCTTCGACTCCCACACTCGCTCGCGCACGCAGGGTTCAGGGCTTTGGGTTTTTGCTATCGGGCGGCTTTAGGGCATTCTGCTGCGGCTATATAGAGAATGTTTCTTGAAGGGGTCCTGGTTGCATCGGCATCATGGCATCACGTCATGCCGGCATCACGGGATAGCCCAAAACACCCACGCTCTTTGCCCTGTTTGGGGCACCGGACTCTGCCGCTGCTAAGACTCACACCTCGAAGCGAAAGCCTGACAAAAAAACAAGACACCTCAAAAGCAACAGACCTGCCTTCCAAACCAACGCAGTCCGAAAGATTTCGTGATTGCTTGGGATTACAATAGAATCAACATGTAATACAAATATTGTATATCGAAATCAGAATATAATACTCAAATAGTCTGGTCTACTATTCAAAGTGTAGCAACCACATAACAATGGCCATGGTTCGCCATGAGTCTTCCACTTACTTCCCGCGGCTGGAGGTTCCTTCGTCTCACTCCCCCGCAACTGTTAGGGTTTAGGGTTTAGGGTGTACGGATTAGGGTTTAGGGTTCAGGGTTCCCCGCAACCCCCCGTCCCTCAGGCTGGGCGAACTCCTCGCGGTTGACGAAGCCAGCATTGGAGGTGAGCCTATGCTCGATGGCTTTAGAGGGAGACAAACTTTTAAACCCTAAAAAAACCCTATAGGCCCCAACCCCTAAAACCTAAACCCTACACTAAAGCGAGCTGCGGGAGCTGCGGTGAGCAGTAGCGAGCGTGCAGGGGGCCATAGCCCCTGCCAGCTCCGGAACTGTCGCGACAGTTGCAGCGCGTGCTAGAACTGTATGACCCTAAAGAGTCGGGTCGGACCGGTTCGAACTTTAGGATTTAGGATTTAGGCAGGAGGGTCTCAGACCCCTCTCCACAGCGTCTCCCAGCATGAGGGATATTCTGTTAAGGACGTTTTGAAGGCAGGGTGAGACCGATCTCAGGGGTCTGAGAGGGTTCCAGCACAGTGCCAGGAAAAGGGCATTCAGGGGCCCTCCTGGGCCGCTCCACGGCTGGCCTCCCTCTGACCCGCCTGGAACATTCCGGAATTTATTTAAAAAAGATTCGAACTTGACACCTTCAGACCCTTCCCCCAAGCTATGAAGTCCAAGGCGCAAACCTCGAGCCGGGATTCATACAACAATTTGATGAGACAGCCGACTACAAATTGATGAAACCCTGAACCCGACCAAGGTCATAATTTGGGTGGGCCGGGTTGGGAGAGGACTTGAACCTTGGCACGCACCACAACACACGCCCTGCATGGTGATGTGACCCTAAACCCTAAACCCTAAACCCTAAAGCCTAAAGCCTAAAGCCTAAACCCTAAAAAACCCAAACCTACACAGGTTCCAGCTGTGCCTTCTTCGGTGCTGTTCCCTTGCCGAAAAAAGGTTAGCCTCTGGGTTTGAAGGAGTTTTATACTACCCCCAAAAAAGATTACAGGCCACCTGCAGCCAAGCCTTCAACCAATCCTGGATGTCCTAAACCCTAAACCCTAAACCCTTTTGCAACTGGCTTGCAAAGTCACGCCAGGAACCCACCCCTGATGAAACCCTAAACCCTAAACCCTGAACCCTGAACCCTAAACCCTAAACCCCAAACCCTAAACCCTAAACCCGGGCTGTCGAGAAGGCCCTCAGCCCTTCACAGGAGGGCCGAGAGCTTGGCTGAATGGCAGCCGGTGGTTCTGAGGCTTTGCAGGGCAAGCCTTTGAAGAAACCCACCGGGTTTAGGGTTTAGGGTTTAGGGTTTAGGGTTTAGGGTTCAGGGTTCAGGGTTCTGGGTTTTAACTTGACAACGGGCTTTGACTTGACAACGACATCGAAAGAACACCCCACTGATGTCGAGACAGGCAGCTTGACGAACTCCCCGCTGACAAATTGCTCCCCACCTCAGCCATCAGCAGTCCAATCACAATCAGCTCACTGGTTGACATCTGAGCAACTGAGCGCGACTAGGGTTTAGGGTATAGGGTGTAGGGCAAAAAAAAGTGCTAAGAGCCAGTGAAAGGTTTTGGTTGACCAACACTGCTTCAGCAGGTACATCGGGTGGAGGGTTGAGCGTTTGGGGTTTAGCTAGGATGCATTTGTTCACTCGTGATGGCCTGCGTTTATCTGGCTTATAGGCTTTGAAGGCTTTGTAGGTTTACAAGGGTTTATAAGGTTTTGTAGGGTTTATAGGGTTCTTCTTAAAGCCCCTCGAATTTCAATAATTGCAACAACTGTCTAGGATCTTCGAAAACTGCGACGGTACTGTGGCGAACTGCTCGTAGTACTTCCCCTGAACCCCACACGCTAAACAGCATGCAGATTGTTGGTGCCAGTCGTAGCTTTCGGACCAGGATTTCAGACTTAACTGGGCCCTCTAATCAGCTTCCTCTAAACCCTAAACCCTTTGTGGGCAACGGACCTGAGGTCCTAGGCCCTAAACCCTAAACCCTAAACCCTAAACTCAGCTTCCCACAGAATCCTTCCAAGTCTTCATCCTCGGCCGCAATGGGCCGGTACGCGTAGCAAGGAACCTTGGGCTGCCAAGACCCCGCAGGTGTAGGGCTTATGTGCAGGGCTCATAGGAGTTAAACCCTAAACCCTAAACCCTAAATCCTAGTTTACGGCTGGAGGGTTTAGGGTTCTATTCAGTACCTAGTTCTACCGCATTGCTTTACACATGGTGCTGTCGAGATTCTGTCGCCCCCCACGAAGGAGCTGTCATCGAGATCTACTTGAAGGTTCATGGGTAGTTATAAGTAGGGTTATAAGAAAGGTACCCTATATGCTGAATTAGGGCTTATAACCCTACTCACAGACCTTCAAGGTGTTTTGGGTCAAGGGTTTAGGGATATAAGATTAAGCGGGTCTGTCAGCATAGCTCACAGGCCCTACGGCTTAAGGGCTACACGTGTTTCAGGGTTGCACGGGTTGCTAGGCCCTTAAAAGTTGTGCGCAAGATCTAGATGAGATCCTCTCCCCAATAAGGCAACACCAAAAGCATTCCACGGGCCTGCCTAGTTTCCTTACTAACTACTTGGAGGTTCATGGGTACTTAATCAGTAGATTAGAAGTACCCGAAATGAGGTTGTGATTTTCAGGCTCCCTTACGTCAAACCCTACTTACAACTAGCCATGAACCTTCAAGCAGCTGAAACCACTCACAACTACCCATGAACCTTCAAGTGGCTAAGACATAGCCCGGGGGGCAAAGTCGAGGTTGATCAGCTTCCCTGTTTGGCGCTCTACCTCCTTCTGGAATCCTCGGGCATAGTAGTGGGCCACCTCAGAGGAAAGTGCGATGGCTTGGGATGTTCCGCCTTAGACTAACAGTCCTTACTAGGGATTGTTGTACCGGAACATCCCAAGAGACAGCGATCACCCAGAATTCTAAAACAGGTGGAGTTGTGTTTTCGTTGGTCCTTTTCTTCGGGCCTTTGTCGTGCTATGGGTTCTCCTTGTTTGGGGGTTCTCTTGTCCGTTTCCTGGCTTTTGCTGGCTTAAACGTGAGACCTGCATCGGACTCTGCTAGACTCGGTCTCCCAGAAAATCTTGCAATTCCGACTCATCATTCTGGGCTTTCAGCGGAGGGCTCATACGACGCCCTCTCCGAAACGACATCTGAGCAATGGAGGCGCTGTTTGTTCGACAGGCGAGCTGTCCAACACCTTTTATAGGGTTCTTATGGGAGGAGGGGGTTCAAGGGGGGTATGTAACCCGGGTTTCCTAATACTCCCTACTATTCCCTACTACTCCCAAGCTTCCCAAAGGCCCCCCAAGTACCTACCCCCCCATGAACCGTCCCCCCTTAAGAACCCTATAAACCTCAGTAACCTTCAAACCACACCCAGGATGGCCCCTAAAACCCTCTGCAAAACATGTTCTGGAGATGATCCCCTCTTAAACCCAAGTAAGGGAGAACATTCCCGAATATGATCCTCTCTTAAACCCAAGTAAGGGAAAACATTCCTGAATACGATCCTCTCTTAAGGAAAATATGAGAAAACAAACAAAAAAAAACTCCCAAGGCCGTCCTGACACGAACAGAAAAGGGCACGTCACGAAGCCCTCAAGCCCGCACGGGCCATCAGTGCGGAGCCAAGGCACCGCAGTCTGCTTCGCGTAGATGTCGACAGACGTCCTCCGAGAGTCAACTCTTGTCATGCGGGAGAGACTAGGGGTTTAGGGGCTCACCCTAAACCCTAAACCCGAAACCCTAGGGTTTAGGGTTTAGGGTTTAGGGTTTAGGGTTTGGGGTTCAGGGTCTAGGAGACTGGCCAAGATGTCGAGGGCCCAAGGACCTAAGGGTGTTTTTGGTAGCCAAGAGGGCTTAGGGCTTAAGGGGTTGCAAGGACTTAAGGGTTTTGTTTCAATACATTCTACTGGAGCTCCTTTTTGGGTTACTTATAGGGGATTCTAGTATACTACCCCAAAAAGGTACTACATAGGAGCCTTTGGGTAGGGCTCAGGGCTTAGGGGTGATAAGGACTTCAGTAACCTGGCCTTGGCTTCAGTAGCTTATTATAGGGCTGAGGGCTTAGGACTTGGCGGTTAAAAGGGCTTGAGGCGCGGTTTAGGGTTTAGGGTTTAGGGTTTAGGGTTTAGGGCTCGGGTTTAGGGTTTTGGGGCTTATAGGGCCTGGGCTGAAGGCTTCGGCTCCTGTCACCGACAGGTCTTAGCCTGTCCTAGTATGGCCTTGCAGGCTCACAGGACTTGGGGCTGGGCTTGGGCGGTTTAGGGTTTAGGGTTTAGGGTTTTAGGGTTTAGGGTTTAGGGTTAAGGGTTAAGGGTTACGGGTTAAGGGTTAAGGGTTAAGGGTTTAGGGTTTTATGGTTTAGGGCTCAGAGCTTAGGGCTTGGGAGCGTCGAGCCTGTCGAACTCCCGAGCTTTTTTTTTGCACATTCCACCCATGAACCTCCCCGAAACCCTCATCCCTAAACCCAAAAACCTTTTGAGGCTTCGGGAGCTAGGGTACCAGGAGTTCAGGCTTTGCAGGGTTGAGGGTTTTAGAATTCGGGGAACACCTGAAAAGTCTAAGCCTGAAGCTTGGGATTTTTCCCCTTGTACTAACAGTCCTTCATAGACGCTATAATAGGGGGCCCTAAACCCTAAACCCTAAACCCTACACCCTAAACCCTAAACCTACTATAATCCCAGATAAGGACTGCTAGTATAAGGGGAACATCCCAACCTGAAGCCCTGACAGCCCAGAATTCAAGAGAGGTGCAGTGGATCGACATCAGGCTCCGTGACCCATTTCCTGGAAATGCGGTTTAGGGTTTAGGGTTTAGGGTTTAGGGTTTAGGCTTGTGTGAAGTTCGAGGCCGCTAGGGATGAAACTGTTTAAACTCCTCTGGCCCTGAATCTACTCATGCAGGGCAGGGTGGCGAGTACATGTTTGGCATCCAAAGAAGGACACCCCTTACGTACCCTCACAACTTGTATAAGGAACCTTGTATACACCCACCAATGGCCATCCTGTAGACCTGCTTCACGTGTCTGTGTGTGTGTGTGAAGGTCCCTTTTCTCCTAGGCCTTGCGGTTGCGGGTTTAGGGTTTATTTCAGGTGCGCCCAACCCTGGATCTAGATTTCACGATTTGAACCATAGCGATTCTAGGGCTCCGAATTCTCATGAATGTGCCTTACCCTTACAAAACGCCCATTACAATACCCTACACTCTATACCCTTTTTGCTTCAGGTCTCCTAAACCCTAAACCCTATAAACCCTAAACCCGTTGACCTATAAACCTCTCTAGCAACGAGCTTAGCTGTGCTCCCGCCCGGTTTGGCCCAGAACCCAAAACCCAGCTTTGGAGTAGACCCTGGAAAACAAGTATATACTTTTTAGGTACAAGTAACTATAATAGGAACCCAGAACCAAAAAAAGTATTAAAGTATAGTACTCCAAAACCCAGAAAAGCCAAAAAAAACAAAAAACACAAAAAACCCAAACACCCCAAAACACCCAAAAAACCAAAACGAAAACAAAAACCCCTTCAACTCCAAGCCCGCAGACCCTTAGCCAGCCGTGCTGCTGCTTCTTGGCCACCATGCGCATGCGCTTGTGGCCACTCTCCAGACCTGGAGCTGTCACAAGAAGAAAACCTCCCGCCACTTTTTGCGTACAAGGAGGGTCCCCCTTCCTATAATAACTACTAAAAGGGGATTAGACCATGGACGTCATCATGGCTGGGCCATGGATGCTGTCTTCTAACTATGGTGAAGAAACGTGTTATTTAGACCCAGGGCTGGGCAGAAGCGGATGCAAGCAAAAGGGGCCTTAGTTTCGTACACAACGAAAGTGTGAAGCAGTGCAGAAACCCCACAAATACCAGTGCAGTTTACGGATGCCTAAAAAATATACATGACATTTTCACAAAAAATGCGGGGATAAGGTAATGGCCGGAATCAAGGAAACGGTGGTATTTGCGGAAATTCTCGAACCAGGTAAAGGAGAACTGCGCAAAAAGCATGGGTTCCTTATGGGCCCGCCTAGCCCTAAACCCTAAACCCTAAACCCTAAATCCGAAAAGGGTACCACTGGGCTACCAATACCAAGACTTAGAAAGAAAAGAGAGCTGTTTCCAAGCCGACGTCGACGGAGGCAGGCGAGTGGCCAGGATCGCGGAAACCATAGCCTCGGTGCTTTGAGGGTTTAGGGTTTAGGGTTTAGGGTTTAGGGTTTAGGATTTAGGGTTTAGGGTTTAACATTCGAGTTTTTGCTTGAGGGTTGTTGGTTGGGATGTCCCCCCCGTATACTAACAGTCATTCATTGTGATTACAATAGGGGGTACTACAATCCCTATTAAGGACTGTTAGTATCAGGGGGCGAACGTCCCAAGTTGTTGGGTTTGTCTTTGCTACGCAGTTTGGATGGGGAGCTGGGTGGGCGTTGTGAATATTCAGCCACAGAAAGGTCGTAGCTGGGGACCGGTAGGTCTCCGACCCACCTCAATGCCTAAACCCTAAACCCGAAACCCTGATACACAGCAGCTCTGGCCTGAATTCTGCAAAGCAGCAGTGGCGCATGCCGCCTCTGGTGAAAGGGTTTCGCCGAATGAAGACGGTCGTCTCCTCTTTCCTTGAATGGCTCTTCCGAGGAATCAAGCTATACCCGAAACGCTAAACCTAACCCTAAACCCTAAACCCTAAACCCTGAACCCTAAACCCTAAACCCTAAACCCTGAACCCTGTTGAGGATCAGATTTCCCGACCAGATCCGGTGATAATCCTAGGCCTGTCCGCCTTACTTCAACAAAACACGGCCTGCCTTCATTCCCTTCAGTATATTTGCTTAAGAACCCCCCCCCCCCCCCCCCCCCCCCCCCCGCCAAAACAAAAAAAAAAAGAGTAATCTCCTTATTGCCCTTATAAGGAACTTATGTTTATTTCTTGGGGCTTCTTATGCAAACAGTAGCTTATTCTCCGCAAGGATCTGAGAACGGCTGGAGCGGACTTCAACTACAGCACTGGGCTCCGATCATCCTACGTCATCATGACAAACCCCTGGACCCCAAAGGCAGCGAAATCACCCTAAACCCTAAACCCTAAACCCTAAACCCTAAACCCTAAACCCTAAACCCTAAACCCTAAACCCTAAACGCTAAACCCTAAACCCTAAACTCTGCTATTTGAAGGCTAGCGTGCAGCATAGAGTGCCGACTTGGCCCTCCCCTTTGCGGCGCATTGGTCCCGTACCGCAGAACCCAAAGGTTTAGGGTTTAGGGTTTAGGGTTTAGGGTTTAGGGTTTAGGATTTAGGGTTTATAGGGTTTAGGGTTTGGGGGTTTGGGGTTTTTTAGGGTGGATGATCCCAATCTAGACACCATGGACACATGGGCCCCTCTGAAAGCGTCAAAGGTATCTCAGCTTAGGGTTTAGGGCTTAGGTGCTCCGACCCTTTTTGGTGCCTTCCCTAAGCATCCTATCAGAAACCCTTCTGACAGCAAAAGACATGCACCAAAGGTGCGTGGCACGTTCTAGTCTTGAGCCCTGTGAATTGGAAGGTCCAAAAGTTTAGTAGGAGTTTAGCACTCAACAAACTTGACCACGAACCCTGCGAAAGGAAACCGATCAGCTGCGAAACCTTCTGTTTACGCTCACTCCGGCCCTCCCCCCCCCAACCAACAAGAAACCCAAGGCCTTCGCGCACCCGAAAGCCCTACTACTTGTGTACGGGTTTAGGGTTCAGGGTTCAGGGTTTAGGGTTTAGGGTTAGGGTTTAGGGTTTAGGGTTTAGGGTTTAGGGTTTAGGGTTTAGGGTTTAGGGTTTAGGGTTTAGGGTTTAGGGTTTAGGGTTTAGGGTTTAGGGGTTTAGGGTTTAGGGTTTAGGGTTTAGGTTGTAGGGTTTAGGGTTTAGGGTTTAGGGTTTAGGGTTTAGGGTTTAGGGTTTAGGGTTTAGGGTTTAGGGTTTAGGGTTTAGGGTTTAGGGTTTAGGGTTTAGGGTTTAGGGTTTAGGGTTTAGGGTTTAGGGTTTAGGGGTTTAGGGGTTTGGGTTTAGGGTTTAGGGTTTAGGGTTTAGGGTTTAGGGTTTAGGGTTTAGGGTTTAGGGTTTAGGGTTTAGGGTTTAGGGTTTAGGGTTTAGGGTTTAGGGGGCAGCCCACACAACGCCACCGTCCGAGGCGCTTGGTGAAGAAGTGGCCTAAGGCCATCGGGGGCCCTAAACCCCAAAGACCCCATAAACCCTAAACGTCTCTAAACCCTAAACCCTATAAACCCTATAAACCCTATAACCCCTATAAACCCTATAAACCCTATAAACCCTATAAACCCTATAAACCCTATAAACCCTATAGACCCTATAAACACTATAAACCCTAAACCCAATAGTAGAACCCTAAACCCCGGTTAGTATAAGGGGGAAACATCCCAACTTGCTCCTCACCGGGGCATCTTGAACTCGAGGTCTGGTGGCTTCTTCCCCCCCTTAAAGAGGTAGAAGGAGGGACCCCTGGAAGGGCCCCTTAATCTTATTATCCTATATAACCTCTATATATACCTTACACAGTCCCTACATACCTACCTAGCCCCCAAATAACCCCAAATAAGCCCTAAAGTCCCTTATAAGGTCCCTGACCCCAAATTGGGATGTTCCCCCGTATTCTAACAGTCCCCTAAATAGGGATTCTCTCGGGGGGGGGGGGGGGATACTATGATCCCCATTAAGGACTGTTGGTATAAGGGGGAACATTCCCAACCCCCCCCCCCCCCCCCAACAAAAAAACAAAAAGAAGAAGAATCCACCAAAGAAGAGCAGGAACACCAGACTGGCTTGACCCTCCCGACAGCTGCGAAGGGAATCTTGTTCTATCCGGATTGAGGTTCTATGTAGAAGTGCTTCAATGCACTGCACTGAACCCTGAACCCTAAACCCTAAGCACTGTCTGTGAAGGCCGGGCGGGGTTTGGTTTGGGGTTAAGGAGCATAAAGCATGCCTTTTTTGTTGGCAACCCGAACAAGCAAAGATCTCCCACTGCCACGTCGTTGCACAGCCTTCTACCACAAACCCTTTTGGAGAAACATGAAAAATTTAGATCCCGAACAATCTATAAAACCTTCTAGCCCCCAAACGCCTGGAGCCTGAAACCCTCAGCTCGCCCCAACACCACGCACATGTGCGTCCCTGTCCCCTTTCGTCCTTCTTCAGCATCCACTGATGCCCAACATATCCCATTCGGTCTCCGGTTTGGATTAGGGCTTACGGTTTAGGGTTTGGGGTTTGCGCTCTCTGCTAGCAGTCCACAGTGCTCCGTTTCGGGTTTAGGGTTTAGGGTCCCCAAACCGCCAACCTCGAGCTGCGATCTCTTCGCGCCAAGCCACTGCCGTCGAACTCGTACTTCGTGCGGATGGCTTTGACCTGTGTGGGGATGATCCTCATAAGCCCTGAAAGGTGAGGCCGTGAACCCCCTAAGATCAGCATGAGGTCACTTCTCTAAAATATGGTCCCTTTAATGGGGGGTCCTTATTATAAGGCGGCCCCCCTATTCAGGGCATCCAAGAAGGGACCACCATTTAGATCAGTATGGAAGAACTTAGGTGCTGAGTTCCCTTGCGGAAAAAAAGGCTAACCTTTGGGTTTGAAGAGTTTTGTTAATACTGCCCCAAAACGCATAAGGTTACCCACCCAGCAACTAAGTAGACCATTCTCGCAACAAAGTCAACTTGCCTTCATGGATCGGAGTCTAGGATGTCGAAACCACCCTGCTACCCACCCTGCACCTCGCGCGTTCCCAGTGAGCCGCCATCTAGGTCGAAGATCACGTTGCGCAGTTCGAACTGGACCTCCTTCTCCACGCTCTCCTGCTTAGGGTCTAACCTACATACGCTTTAGGGACACTCTAATTGTTGCATATAGATATACATATATATATATATATATATATAAACCCTCGCTTAAAAAAGGCAGAGGATTACCCTAAACCCTAGACCCTAAACCCCGAACCCCAAACCCTAAACCCTAAAGCCTAAACCCTAAAGATGTTCAAGCATTTCTGCTGGTACAGGGTCATCTCCGACCATTTCATGCTGGCTGCGGAACCGGCGTCGAGTCTCTCGCGGGACGCATTGGGGGTATTCGATGGAGATTTGAAGTCTTAGTTGTCCAGTATCCTTGGGGAACTGAAGGTTAACCTTTGGGACTATAAAGGGAACAGAATACCCCAAAAAGGTTGAAGGTTGCCTCCTCTACTACTAAGAACTGGAGTAATTAATGTGCATCTGCCCCCTCCCCGACTGGCTCTGGGCTTGGGTGGAGCAGAGCTCGGAAGAGTCCTAAAGCGCGAATCAAAATGTCGGGATCATCTGCGTCATTGTCAGTGAAAAACCCCTAGACCCTAAACCCTAAACCCTGAACCCTTAACCCTATATAAACACTAAACCCTAAACCCTAAACCCCAAAACCCTAAACCCCAAACCCCTAAACCCCAAACCCCTAAACCCCAAACCCCTCAACCTTCAACCCTAAATTACTACACCCCAAACCCTAAACCCTAAACCCTAAACCCTACACCCTAAACCTGCCCGCGCCTTCTTCTTGGGCACCCACTTCGGACCATTCGCATCCTGGTAGTTGCTTGAGGGGGCCTATGTTGGGTCCTAGTAGCCCTAAACCCTAAACCCTAAACCCTACGTAAACCCTAAACCCTAAACCCTTACACAAGGGAAATAAGGGCTTGTGTCGTGTCAAAGTCACCGGAGATCAGCAAGAACCGAAAACTGTTGAAGGCATCTCCGCATCCCTCCTCACGAGGGCTCGACGGTGCCTCCTGCTCTACTATACGGGCCTTAGTCATAAGAATAGGGTTTTGGGGGTCATTATAGTATAATTACATTTTGGACCCTAAACCCTAAACCTACTCATTCCGACCCTAGATGACTTGACATCCCAGCCCACTAATTGCTTAAGTACCCCGAAATAGTTAAAAGAAACATTGTTCCTCATTAAGGGCAATATAGGGATTATCATTTTTTGTTCTTTTGGTGTTATTAAGCAATTAGTAACAGCCATCCAGCTAAACCCCCGAGCCTAACAATTATACTCAGCCCCTCAAAAGCCCAGAAGATCTGATTTTATACTTGCACCCGTAAGGTTCCCTTTTTGGGGTGTGCTGCTATACTTGCACCTATAAGGTTCCCTTTTTTTGGGGGGCTTTAAAACCCTAAACCCTAAACCCTAAACCCTAAGAATTCTACCTCCACGGCCCTGGCCCTGCTACTACGACACCCCCAGTAACGAAAGCACGCAGTCCTCGCTGCCCTGCTGCCCCTTGGCTGCCTCCGAAAGGCAGAAAGACAAGTTTAAGGGTAAGGGTTTAGGGTTTAGGGTTTAGGGTTTAGGGAATTACTTGTTGGGGTTCCTACAATAGCATGTTTGGTAGGTGTACCCCGATTTTGGGAAATGCCCAAGTCGAATTTGTAGGGTTTTGTTGTTCAGGGGGTTAATGGTGCGGTACCGGTAAGATGACCTAGTGACCTAGTGGGCTCATGAGGAAATACCATCCAGAAGTAGAGGTCTGCAGAGGCTTCTGGGCG